ACAGAGTAAAGGGGTGCTGATAGGGTGGTCTGAACTCAGAGACATCACTGCCTTCAAAGCCGAGTGCTCAGGTTTCCAGAACTGAGTGCTCATCACACAGTCCTCCCTGCCGGCTGGGCGTGGCACACCTGAGGGCTGATGTGTAGCAGGAAACAATGGGAATCTCCTGGGCGGTCAGAAAAGGAAGGTCTCTCCCAAGACCACTGCTGATGCAGGAAAGACCACAGACTGAGCACTGGGTCTCACCAGTAACCTTGCATCTCACTGCGTTCACACACACACACACTCACATCTTGTCTCCCCATCTGCAAATCAACAAAAGGATATGTTTTGAGATAATTTCCTCAATAAGGCAATCACCTCGTGGTGATTGAGATTTGAATCACAGAACTTCAAGCCATAGAAAACGCTCTGCCATCTTTACCCTTTGCAACTCTAGCTCTTGAAGTGTAGTCACAGGAACCCAGAATGAAAAAAGAGTCTTTCAGAGCCTGGAGTCTGCTTTATCCCTGTGCCGAGACTCTGATCGAAGTGGCTCTTGTTCTTTTGCCGTATCATCCTTCACTGAGATTGACTTGCTTCCTAACTACCAGCTTCTGGTGGCATCTTGCTGTTCACTGACCCCCCCAGGGCTGACTGGGCTGTGTGGGCAAGTGTCCCCTTTCTCTCTCTGCATTTATTTGAACTGTTCAGAGTCGAATGCCTTTCCAGATTGAGAAGGACATTCTAGATGTTCTGAGCCGCTGCTAGACCCTCCAAACAGGCTCTCCCCCACATTCTTCACTCCAATGGCTCCTTAATAGAGACACTGGAAACAACAGTTGAGTATATCTACCTTCTCCAAGTCGTATGTTGAGAGGGAAGCATCTGCCCCAAGCTGATGGCCCCCTGGACATCCTTTTTGCTGCAAATTTGCTGTAAGGAGCATATTTTGGTGTCCTTTTTGGCCAGGTTCAGCTCATTCTGGCCTCTGGCCTTCCATGTAGGATGGGGGGCCTGTGCACGTGTGATTCTCCAAGGATGGAGGATAGTGGGGAGGTGAAAGAAGAGGCAACGGCCTACCAAAATGAAGAAAGATACAGATCCAAGGCAGCTGAAGGCGCTCTATCTGATGGGAATGCCCACTGAGGACCAAGAGGATCAAGTTGAAGGAGAGAGGCCCAGAAAACAGAGAATGGGTAAGGAAAAAGGATAAGAGGAGAAAGTAGTTAAATTGTGTATTCATTTCCTGCGGCTGCAGTAATAAATTACCACAAACTTTGTTGCTTAAAATAACAGAAATTTATTTCTCACCGTTCTGGAGGGCAGAAGTCCAAAATGAAGGTGTCAGCAGGGCTGTGCTTCCACCGAAAGCGCCAGGGGAGAATCCTTCTTTGCTTCCTCCAGCTTCTGACGGCTGTCGTCATTCCCGGACATGTGGCTGCATTACCCCATCTGTCTCTGTCTTCACATGGCCTTCTCTTTTCTGTGTGTCTCTTATAAGGATACTTGCCCCGGGATTTAGGGACCACCTGGATAATCCAGGATGATTTCCGCACCTCAGGATCCTTAATTACATCTGCCAAGATCCTTTTCCCAAGTAATGTAACATTCAAGGGATCTAGGAATCAGGATGTGCACCTATCTTTTGGAGGCCAACATTTAGCTCATTACAGGGTGGGAGCAGACAGAAAGTAGGATGAAATAGGCTAGCAGGTCAGGATAAGGGGCTCAGAGCCCAAGTCAAGAATTGGTTAAGAATGAAGAACATGGTTGCTCCTCTTCTATGTACTTCAGTGAGAGTGAAGGGACAAAGGCAGCACCTGGAAGAATGGGCTCTCCATAACCTTCTGTGTCTGCCTCTTGCCTTTCCCCTGTTTTTCTGCACATCCATTTCAAAACTAAGCTCCTGGGAGAAATCTACTCTGATTTCTTTTTGCTGAGGAAGATTCGCCCTGACCTAACATCTGTGCCAATCCTCCTCTATTTTGCATGTGGGTTGCTGCCATGTATGGCTGACAAGTGGTGTAGGTCTGTGCCTGGATCTGAACCCCCAAACCTGGGCTGCCAAAGTGGAGCATGCCGAACTTAACTACTATGCCACAGGACCAGCCCCTGATTTTTTTCTAAAAGAATTTTATTTTATTGTGGTAAGAACACGACATGAGATCTATTCTTAACACATTTTTAAGCATACAATACGGTATTCTACCCATAGGCACAATGTTGTACAGCAGACCTCTAGAACTTATTAATCTTGTATAACTGAAACTTTATACCTCTTAATTAGCAACTCCCCATTTCGCCCTCCCCCAAACCCCTGGAAACCACTATTCTCCTCTCTCCTATGAGTTTGACTATTTTAGATACTTCATATAAGTGGAATCATGCAGTGTATGTTTTCTGTAGATGGCCTCTTTCGCTTAGCATAATGTCCTGAAGTTTCATCCATCTTGTTGCATAGTGCAGGATATCCTTTTTGTAAGGCTGAAAAATATTCCCTTGTATGTATATACCACATTTTTGTGACCCATTCATCCACTGATGGACATCAAGGCTGCTTCCATGTCTGGGCTATTGTGAATAATGCTGCAATGAATGTGGAAGCACAGCTATCTCTTTGAGATCCTGATTTCTACGCTTTTGGATAAATACCCAGAAGTGAGATTGCTGGATCATATGGTAGTTCTATTTTTAATTTTTTGAGGAACCTCCATGCTGTTTTCCATAGTGACTGCGTCATTTTGCATTCCCACCAACAGTGTACACGGGGTCCCATCACCCTGATTTCTTTAGCTAGTTTCCTTCTTAGGAACAGAAGTTTCTGCTTTGAGCTTTCTGTCTCTAGAGTCATGGTCCTTTTTAGAGCCCCTGAGAAAAAATTTATTTTTGATGAACTTCTCAAAGGCCACTTCCTAAAGTGAAAGTACATGGCCTCCAAGTCCTTACCTCTTGCATAGTGAATTCTACCATGGCACGGCCAGTCTTCCAGGGTTTCCCTCACTCCAACACTCCCAGCCAGGTCTTTTCTATCTGTTAGATCTAGGTGTAATCTAGCAGTGCCTTCCCTCCATCCTTTACCTACTGAGAACTAATATTGTAATGACGCTGAGTGAAGACTGCACCCAATGGTTTCGTTCTGGCAGGTATCTGGATATGGGCCGTATCAATCAGGATATGCTAATTATGCTGCAGTAACAACTACAAGTCTCCAAGGACCACAAGAGCAAAGGTTCACGTCTCACTGCCAGCACACGTCCTTAGTTGGCTGTGCTCCACGTCATCTTTACTCAGGGACCCAGGCTGGTGGCACATTGGAACATTTCGTGTTGCTACCGTGGAGGGAAAAGAGAGTATGGCGAACTACATGTTAGCTCTTAAATTTGCTGCCCTGACCCAGCACATGGTGTTACTTTTCATGGCTAAAAGGAATCACCTGGCCAAGTTAGTCGTCAGCAGGACGAGGAACTCTAATCCTCCTCTAAGGAGGGCCGGGGACACGAGTGAACAATAAACAGACCACCACAGAGGCTCTCTAGGTACTGTATTTTTGTGGCAAATTCCTGATTCCATGGACCCAGAAAACTGGTCTCCCCATACCGCTCTGCAAGAATTCACACTTCCAGGCATTGGGCACCCTCCATACAGCAAATAGCTGCTTACACTAACTTTCCCCACTTAGTAGGGCTATAAAACCAACCTCTCTAAAGGAAGCCACATTGACAAAGTCTTGGCGCTGACAACAGCAGAAGTCTATTTCTCACAGCACATGTCTGTCATGGGTTGGACATCTGGGTGTGCAGTATACCCTTTTTGGTGGAGGCTGCATTTAATGACTTCTACCAGAGTTCCCAAATGATTTTAAGCTGCCTACATTTATCCTGATTGTCTGGAGGGGTGCTGTTATAAGGAGCTATATCCGGGAATTCCAATACGCATTACTCTTTTTCAAGAGAAGACTGCCTGGGCTAATAACTGAAACATTATTACTCATGAGACATAATTTATGTAGGACATGTAACTGGGCAGTTTGTAGCACACTCCCACGACACTTCTTCCTTTTCATCCACATCCCCTCTCAGCTTTGTGCGGTTTCAAATAGTTATTAGTCCAGTGTCAACCTGTCATTTTGCTCTTTGAGGTTAAAAGAGAGAGGAAAAAGCCGAAATCTCATACCCCATGATCTGTGGGCAGTCCCATGGCCTCCTCAAGATCTTTGTGACTTTTCTAGTAGTTTTATGTACCTGTGGTCACTTGTGTCTTTACAGCCTGATGTTGTGAGCTTACTTGGGTCTCATCTCCACAATCTTCTCTGCTCTTGCAGATCCAGACAGAAAACTTACGCCTTTCCCCCCAACTTTTACCCAAAAAAACCAACCGCAGCAAACTCACTACTCACACAAGGCATTACTCACTGAAGGTTTGGCGCAGCTCAGCCTCCTCCGCAAAACGCTTCCCAAAGAACTCCTCTCTCGTTTCTTGAACCCCCTCCCTGGGCTCTGGTTTCCCCCTCCTTCCCCTAATTCAGTCCCGTTCACTTTATTATGCAGAGTAATTTAACTCTCTTTCCTGCGACTCTGCCCCAGGCTTACCTTCGCATAGCCAAAGACTCATTAATGTCTCCGTAAAACAAAGGGCCATTTATGCAAGACAGAATTACTGGCAGAGATTTTGTAATTTCTTTCTCATTTTCTCCCTCTTACTCTGTAGGTGGAAGAAAGCTGTTTGGAAATTTATTTTCCTCATACCGGAAGGTTGAAGCGCCTAACAGTTTGGGTTTTAAATAACATTTTCCCTCTTCCTTTCAGGTACATGTGTATTTTCCTGACATCTATTTCTGATCATCTTGTTTCTTTAACACAGTAGGTCTTGAATTTTTGGTCTCAGAACTTCTTTACACTCAAAAATTAGTGAGGGCCCTAAAGAGCTTTGGTTTATATGGGTTTTATCAATATTTACCATATTACAAATTAAAACAAAAATTTAAAATATTCATTCATTTAAAAACTAAAGTAAATCCATTACATAATAACATACACAATAACATGGTATCTTTTTGTGAAAAAAATACGTTTCCAAAACAAAAGAATTTAGTGAGAATGGCACTGTTTTACATTTTTGCAAATCTCTTTCAAGTCCGGCTTTAATAGAAGACAGCTGTTCTGCCTTCAGTGTTTTGCAAACCACAAGTCACACAGCCTCTGGAAAACTCAACTGTTCACAACTCCTGAGCAAATGAGAATGAAATGGCAATTAACATTTTAGGATTATGAAAATAAGTTTTTATCTTGCCGACTACGCTTTGCCAACCTCTGTTTTAATACATATTCTAGTGGTGCAAACTGTATAAAAAAAAAAAACAAAAGATGAAACCAGTGACATCTTGAATTAAATCTGAACCTTGAACCAAAAGGTAGAAAGAACTCATTGGCTAACTTGCAGTTAATTTAAATAACTTTAAATGACTTGAGATGGTATATTTAAAAGCTATACATCAAGGATGAACAGAAACCCGTGACACTCTTCCGCCCTTGTCTCCATCTGGTAAATTCCTAGTCAGCCTTCCAATCCGCCTTCTCTACAGAGCCCCAGCCCACCATAATTACAAGGATAATATTATTATTAACAACGGTCTCCGACTTTTACTGGTCACCGGGAGCCAAGCAAAGTCAAAACACTGCATGTGTTATCTAATTCTCCCCATAACACTGGGGAGGGGACTGGAAAAGAAAGGCCTCTAGCTCTGTGCCCTGCACACCTGCTGTCCTAGCACTCAGTACATCCAGATGTCACCGTCCACCTACTCTGTCCCGCACAGGTGCGTCCCTGAGGTCAAAGGTCAGGCTGAGTCGCCTCGGGTCACGGGCACCCGCGCTGCCGGGCTGTCAGTGCGGGAGTCGCGAGCGGGCACCAGCTTCCTAATCCTCTCACTCCCGGGGCCCAGACGCCCCAGGCAGGCGCCCTGGGGCTCGGGACCCCCGGACCTCCCCACGCAGCCGGGCCCGCCGAGGTTTGCGGGGAGGAGGAAGCGCCGCGGGGTCCCGGGATCCCCCACGCGCGCGGGCCGAGGCCGGAACTTTTCTCCTCTCGCCGCGGGATGGCGGCGGAAGCCGGAACCTTTCTTCTCGCGTCGCCGTTGGCGGGCGGAGGCGTGCGGAACCGGAACGGTCCTCCCGCGGCCGGGCTCGGGCCGCGGTCGCCGGCTGCTGACGTGGGCCGGCCGGGTGCCGGGCGCCGAGGGTGCGGGTCGCCGAGAGTGCGGGTCGCCATGGCGGTGGACATCACTCTGCTGTTCCGGGCCAGCGTCAAGACGGTGAAGACGCGCAACAAAGCGCTGGGAGTGGCGGTGGGCGGCGGGGTTGACGGCAGCCGCGACGAGCTGTTCCGCCGGAGCCCCCGGCCCAAAGGCGACTTCTCCAGCCGGGCGCGAGAAGTGGTGAGCTGGTTGCTATGGAGACGGCGGGCTGGAGGCGGGGGGCGGGCCGGCGACGGGGACCCCGGACCCCGACCCTGTCCCGCAAGCATTGTGAGCAGGTAGCGCCTGGAGAAAGTGGTGTGAGGGGGGCGCGAGAGTGGATCCCCGGGAGCCGACAGCTGTCTTGGGGAAGGAGCAGCCTTATTTCGAGGAACGGGGACGCAAATTGGGGAACTCGGAAATCCCTGCAGCCAAAGTTCATGGTCTGCTTTGCGAGGTAGTGAGTTCGCCGTCACTGCAGGCTTGAACGCCGGCGCAACTTCCCCCACGTTCCTTTGCTTTCCTGTCGCAGCCCTGACCACAGTGTATCTGCCTCTTCCGTTTAGTCGTCTGTCCCTCTCCCATTTCCCGGTATTGAGATCAGAGATTACATCCGGCTGACCTCTCCCTTCCCCTTGCCTCCTGCAATTGGTTAGGGGTCGTGCTAGCGATGTGTACTTTTTGAGACTGGTTTAGGATAATCTTCCACAAACGCTCGATGTTACAGTCGTCTAAACTACTTGCTGTTCCTTGAACAGAGCAGGCTTTCCTTCAGGGGAGCAGAGACCTTCTCCTTAAGGGCAGGAACAGTGTTGGCTTCACTTCGGAATCCCTACTGCCCCACTCCTGGCATTGCTCAGTAAATGTTTGTTGAATGAATGAATGAACAAATGGTTGTCTGTCTTCCCCACTAAACAGGAAACTCTGTAAGAGGAGGGAGAAAATGTTTGCCTTGTTCACTTTTGTATCCTTGGCCCCAAGGGTGGATCTAGTTTTTGTGGAGCTTGAAGTTTATACAGTTCTGCCTGTTCTAAGAAATGAAAATGTAAAATCACGAAAAGGGTTCAGAGCTTTGGGAGGTGCAAATGAGGGGCCCTGAAGGTTGAGCTTCATTAATGTCGTGGTAAGTCCACTTCAGTTTGGCACACAGTCCAGTGCCTGGTACCTTGTAGACACTCATATCTTTTAGTGAATGTATGGGTGCATGAATTAACGAGTGGCAGTTTGCAGAAGATATTCAAGCATCAGAAGTGGGGTTGGACTGGATGGATACATCCAGTCCATCAATAAACATCTATTAAGCCCCTGTCTTTTGACCAGTACTGTCTCAGAATAACACAACTTAAAAGGAGTGGTGGGGGAGACAGACGTAGTAACAAAACAAGTGCCATACAGCCTTCTAGATGTTGTATAGGGCACAGAGGAGAATGCGGTCACTTCTACCGGAGGGCCGACAAAGGTTCAGTAGGGGCGATGATGCCTGAAATAAATCTCGAAAGTAGAGTAGTTGGTTCCAGTGCAGACAGCGTGAAGAAGGGCATCTCAGGCTGAGAGAAGAGTATGCAGGAAGATGTGGAAACCGGTCATTTTGATGCTCATTTTAGCTGATTTATATGTGCTCAATGCATGTCTACCCATTAAATTACAAATTAGACAGTAATGACATTTTAGATTTTTTTTGAGGAATTTATATTATCTGAGCTACTTCAAATAATGATGAATATGCCACTTTGCAATGTTAATGAATTGGTATGATAAGCATTTGAGTGTGGCTGACATATGGGACGCTCAGGAAAATTGGACTAGAGTGGTAGGCGAGGGGACATCTTGAAGGGCCTTCTCACTGTGCGGAGTTTGGACTTGGCCCTGTAGGCATTCAGATGTTGTGTGGTAGAGAGAGCACTAGAGAAGGAACCAAGGGACCAGGTTGTTGTCTTAATCCTGCAACTATTAGCCATGATATTATTAAGCAAGTTTTATGGCCTTAATTAATTTACTTGGAAATGGTCTCCTCCTTTTTTCCCCTCCTTAAACAGCAGAAGACTTTTAGAAAACTACATTGATCCTCCTACATGTGGTAGATCAAGGAAGGAGCTTCTCGGGTTGAAATGAGAGGGAGGGGAACCAGGACTTCTCCCTCCTGTTCCTCGCAGTCTGGCCCAGGCTGTTCTGAGGTTCCTCCTTTGGAACTGTGTATGAAGATCACAGTTTTTTTGGAGGACCCTTTCTAACTCTGAAATCACTGATTTGTTAACACTGTGCTAACTTTGGGTCCTGCTTGGGAATAGGGGCTTTGGGAGTGGTGGGGACAGGAAGCATCGTTGGGTTGGCCAGCCTGATGGAGAGCCCTGCGATCGCTTAGGCCTTAGGCCTCTTCCTGAGTGGTGGGGATGTGCTTTAGGCCTTTGAGTTAATGGGCCTCAGGGCCAGTCACAGGACCCTGGGTGCTGAGTGCCCTGTCGCTGGAGGTAACTGAACAGGGATGACTGCTTGTCAGAGGTGTTCAAGAATAGCTCTGTGCTTTTGTCGGAGGGTTAGATGCATGCCATTGAAAGTTCCACTTCTGATATTTAATGACGTGGCTAGGTGTCAAGGCTTGGAGAGTCTGTTCAGCAGAGACATGGGCTGTGTTGTTCGGGGCCACCGCCCACCTGACATAGGCAACACGTGCATTCTTTTGAGGAATTTTGATTTTATGTTGCAGTTGCTTTATGTATTACCTCTTGTTCTTGCAGCCACTTCTCTGACTCGTGGAGAATTTAACTAGTATAGAGCTAGTGAGGGTGTCCTGTGCTCTTAACCACAGTCAGATGTGTCAAAAGTCTGGCAGTTATTTTGTTTGGCCTGCATTCCTTGTACATAAAACTCTGGTCAATACTAGGAGGACATATTCTGGTTCAGGTTGAGCCCTGGTTGTCAGACCTCAGGAAATGTAGCAAGTTGTAGTGATGCCTTTTCTTGAAATTTGTCCTTGAGGCAATTTACTGTCATTTCTAGGGTACATTTACCTAGTTTAATCCAGAGCTTCCTGTTCCTCATTTTGGACAGAACGTATTCCTGATGTCAGATTTCTACCTCACTGAATTGTTGTAGAGGTTATATTAAGTTTAATAAAACTGTGTTGAAACTAGGTCTTTTATTTTTCCCACAACTGGTTTCTTCTGTATCATTCCTTTAAATATTTAACTGTTATGCTCAATTTTGTTGAATTTATATATACTCAGTGCATGTCTATCCATTAAATTACAAACAAACTAGACAGTAACAACATTTCAGATTTTTGGAGGAGGAATTATCATATGTGAAGAACTCCAAACACTGGTGAATATGCCACTTTGCATGGGAGCGTGCTTAGTTAACCCATTTGGACTGTGGGACTAATGGGGACGTTGGGAGTGGAAAGAGAACCAGGGCTGGAATTTAGAAGACTTGGGTTGGAATCTGGATTCTGCTACTTGGAAGTGGGTGACTTGGCTGAGTCCTCTTACCTGAGTCTCATTTTCCATTTCTATAAAATGGGTATGTATCATAATACCCTACTTAACTGATAAGCCCATTATTAGGATCTTGTGAGACCATGTATATATCACGAAGAGCCATACTGATTGTTATTGTTCCCCTTCACCTCTTACCCTACCTATTTAGATAGATTTTCATCAGTGGCTCCAAGCGATAATCCCTAAACCACTTAGATTTGTTGTACTTTCATTCCTTGCTTGCAAAGGGGAACCGAGTAAGTGCATAAAGGAATCAGTGAAATCCTGTGCAGGTACTGATAGCATCGATAGTGGAGACAACAGCATCCTTGTGTCAAGGTGCAGTGGCAAATGTGTGGAAGGACTTTCCTCACACCTTCTCTCTCCCTCCCTGTGATCCTGGAAGCCAGTGCTGATTTCCCAGTAGACCTGTATAGCTTAGAATTCTTTACAGCCTCCTACCTCAGGTAGCCATTGGGCCTGACGTTCAAGTTGAAATCTGCTTGACATCCTACCTGACGTATAGTGAAAATAGAATCTGTGTGGCTGAAGCACAACCATTGACTTTCTCCTGGAAGTGCCTAAAAGCATCTTGAGTTCATGTTGTTCAGGCTTCTCATTTTGCAGTCGGGAACACTGAGGTGTAAGTGAAATGGCTTGCCCAGAGTCATAATAGCTGAGGTCATAGAACAGAGCCGAGGTAGAAGCCAGGTCCTTTGACCCCTGTTTATTTCCCCCCCATATCCTCCTACCTTAAATTTCCACCATAATTTTAATTCTTTGGATTTTTTCTTTTTGCTCTAAGTAGAGCTGTTTAACTTTATTTCTTTTTTTTTTCTTTTGGCTTTTGAATGGCAGTGAATTTCTTCTTGAGTTAATACAGAATTCATAACTGGATACTGAAAGGGATTTAGAGCAGAAAGACCTGAATTTGAATGCCTCTTACTTACTATATGAATTTGAATGTCTCTTAATGTATGAACTTGGGCAAGTTACTTAACCTTAGTTTTGTCACTTCTAAAACAGAATAAATAATAGCAACCTTTAAGATTGTTAAGCAGAGGAAATGAGAAAAGATGCAAATGCCTGCATGAGTGTGAATTCTTTTGATTGTGAGTAACAGTAATCAAATGTGAACTAACCTGAGCAAAATGGGAATGTTTTGACTTACATAACTGGAAAACACAAATGAAACTTCTTTCTCTAGCACTTATCCATAAAACCCTGGGATAGGACTCTGGTTGCTTCTGCTTGGATCCTGAGTCCTCATTATGGCATCAGAGGGATAAGATTCTTCAAATGGTCAGGACATATGTCCACCCCAATATGTGGCCAACAGGTGGGTTGGGTACTATGATTGTCACGCCACTAGAACCTTGTGAAAAGGAGTGCTATGTCTAGGAGTAGGGAGTACGGATGCTGGGCAGGCAGAAGCAACAGAAATGCTCCTCACAGGGCCTAGCACCGTGCCTGACCTGCCTCCACCTGACCTACCTGGTTGTCTTCAACTCGGGGGAATGAAAAACTAGAATTGTGGGAGTTTGTAATGACAGGCTTTGGGTGTGGGAATGTGTCTGGAGGCCTCATGATGGCGGCTCTTCCATTTTCTTACTGATTTATAAAGGTGACAGAGGCCAGGGAAAGTGCTACACAGGAAACCAAGACCCCTCTAAGAAGCCAAACGATGTGTCCAGGGGGCAGCGGGGCCAATGAACAGCATTGAGC